AGGGTAATAACATAAGTAACACCACAATAACACAACAATATCATAATAACAATACAACAATACCACAACTATAACACAATCATAATACAACCATAACACAATCATAACACTTCAATAGCACATTTATAACACAACTATAACACAATAAAACAATTATAACACTACAATAACATAATCATAACAAAATGGAAAATCTTCTTTTTATCTATAATAAACAATGTAACATAATACATCGAAGACTTTGCCATACCGCTAGATTCTTCAGTTCCCTTGCGACATTCCATTGTTATGTGCTAACAACAGGAAGGAAAAACCAAAGCTTTGAATCATGGGGATGCCGAACGACACAATGCTCTCACTTATAAACACCACGTCTTTGCGCCGAAGAGGAAGCGAAACCGACTTTGCGTAACGTAGAAAGAAGGCGAAATCGACCTTGCGAAGAGATGTACAGAAGGAAAAACCGTTTAAGAAACCATAGCTATTTCCTTGCACCAAAGAGGAAGTCCAACCGCCGAAGAGGAAGCGACAAAGAATACTCGAAACCACTAAAAACCAAAAATCACAGAAGAAAAAAATGCCGAAATCTGTCGTAAATGTGCTTTTTGTCTGGATCGGCATTTCGTTGGGTTAAATTCGGGCCGGGTTTGTGCGAAAAAACACAAATTTTAAATTTTTTTCTCGGTGGGGCCGATGATTCGGGCTGTGTCACACTAAATGTGAGTTTTTTTTGAATTTTTTCGGCCAATGGGACCCACCTACCAGTTGGCTTCTTCTCATTGGACTCCACATACAGATCTACGTGCGGAGTCCTAATGTAATATTTTTTCCAAAATTAAATCGACATGAACCTAATTTTTTCGTTAACTCTACGATAGTAAGTTTCCTTTAGTTATTATATTCTAATAGATATGCTTTTCAGAAGCACCTTCCTATCATAAAATGTTTTGAACAAGAGTGAAAAAAAAAGATTCGTGATAATGGTGTGAAAAGTAAAGAAAGCAATGAGAAAATTGCTAAAAACAAATCATATGTATACATTAATATCGTAGAGTTCTAACGGTCTAGAAAAAAAATAATTGGATGGATGAAGATCCCTACAAAGAGATCCCGAAAGCTCCTGTCCACACGAGCCAAGTCAATTAGGTTGAAACCGATCAAGCTAAAAAACAAGCAATAATCATTAATCAAAATATCGTAAATTGATATTCGGCGTGATAGATTTCATAAAAATAAAGACGAATAAATAACAAACTAAAAAAAATTAAAATTAAAATTAATAATCAAATTGAACCAATAAAATAAAATTATTATATTTATTATTTTATTTTTATCAAAACAATACACAACACGCGCATGTAATGACTAAATTCATGCAGATTAGTCGGTTAACGAGAGATTTTATATTGAATGATATTTAAAAATATTATCTGAGCCTTTTAAATAATTCAATTATATTATCTGTTTATCGTCCGATCCAGCATCCTTGGCATGCATTTTTCAAAGAATTATGTCCATCCTTGTGGTCATACGTGGCAAAATACAATCACTTTCTTTTGATGTTTGCTGTTCACAGATAACAGCTGTACTTCACCGGCTGGCTATTGAGGCAGATTATTTCTGGCACATTTTTCTCTTTTTTTTCTTCTGCATTTCTTATTGTTGCTCCATTTGCTTGCTCTTCCGCCACTGGCCCTTCGTTTCTCCTCCAAATTGCCGAACTCGACCGAAGCTAACCAGGGGAGACAGAGAGAGAGACAGAGAGAGAGAGACAGAGTTGGAGGTCTAGGGCTACACACTTGTTCCGGTATAGAGTTATCGATTGTGGCTGCTGGAGAAGAAGATGAGCGTGAATCCGGTGCAGGCGAGTTCTCATGGGAACCTGGACGAGCAAATTACGCAGCTTATGCAGTGCAAGCCGCTTACGGAACAAGAGGTTCTATTCGACTCGATCTTTTTAGATTTGTAATCGATCTCGACTTGCTTGCCCTCGTTTTTTTTATTCTGCTTTTTGATCCTTGCTGCGATGGTGAATTGCTGCGGGGTTGACGGATCGGGTGATATTCTAGACTTTTGGAGGCGGCTGGAGTTTTTCACTGTTGTTCCGTTGGAGTTTTGGGTTTCGGTGAGTTAAGATTTTTTATTTGGGCGTTCGGCCGGATGGAGACACGGTCTTTTGCCGCTTGAAGAGGTTTTTTTTTGAAGTTTTTCTAGATCTGCGAGAAAATTTTGAATTGTATTCGGTGCGCTGCAAATTGGAAGTAGAATAATCTGATCCGAAGGCGTAGTGATGGGTCATCGGACGAAGTTTGTTTAAACTGGCCAATGCAACATTTTGATTCGGATGTGGCTGAGGATACACGAGTTTGATGGACAAAGACTCCTCCGTAACGTTTGTAGGCTCAGTTGAATTTCATTTGTTAGGGGAAAAAAAGAACGGCTTCGTTTATAATCTTCTTTGTGGCATTTGAAATTACACATAAGTTCCATAAGGAAGTATGTTACGGCTGAGAATTGATAATCGAGGGTATCCCTTATAAAATCTATTGAGTTTCATTTTACAACTTTAGTTATTTTCTTCGAAGCCCCATAAAATATAAAACAGCTCCAAGCAGAGTTTCATTTGATGACCGTTCAGTGCTCTTTTTCCTCTTCTATTCTATCAAGCAAAACAATTTTTGTGATACGATTATAACTATTGTGGCTTTCACACGAGGTTTAGACGCATAATGGTAATACTAGTATTTTTGTTGAGCGGATACTCTGTAATATTATTTCACTATTGATTTTGTATTAACTCCAAAAGATATGCATAATGGTAACGTTTAGATGGACGAGTCATCTATTGAGATTTAGAAAATTATAGGAGTTGATAGAATTATTTGATTGATATAATGTTTTTTTTGTGGCATCTTAGGAGACCGGGATTATGCCATATGATTTGGAACGAAGCATTTTGGTAAAATGTTTATCACAAGTAAGATATGTTTAGTATTGAAATAATTATAGGGAATCAATATGAGCCATCAATGTTATTATTTCGAGAGTCTAATGAACAAGTAAAATTACCACATTTGTTATGAAGATTTAACTTAGCTATGTGTCAGGATGATTCACTATTAAGACAATTTTTGTTTTGGGCAATTATTGAAAAGTATGGAGAACATTTCTAGTGTATTTTTTTTTAAAAGTTTTGGAAGACATGATTAGGTAACATGTGAACCTATTGAGCGGCATCAGGAAAAAAAATTATGTGTTGAAGGTATGCATGTACACTCTCAATCAAACTAGGATTATTTCTAGGATTGTCAGTAATTTAACTTTTTTTAATTGGCTATGAAGGTACTTATAAAGGATATTCGAAGTGGGTCATCTTGTTTATGTTATTTCAAACGATTGTGTTTGAATAAGTGACTTCTACTGAGATAATGTTAAAGCTTGAACAATTGAGAGCATTTGCAAAGAAATGGTGACGTTGGATTGGTAGAACATAGATTGAGTATATGTTATGTTGTTTTAGTGGTTTGAAATTGATAATTACTTGCCTTTTTTTTTGGAAGATGATGTAGAGCTGAAGTGTGCTAAGTGTTCTGGTTCAATTATTACAAAAAGAGTGTATGGATGGGGATATACGTCGTAGAATGAAGAATAGTGGTTACTTTTGGGAAGTGTTTTAGGAGTTTATGAGATGGGGTATCACATAGGATTTATAAATTGAAATAAGACGAGCTAATTTTATGAATTTGAGTGTTGTGCTATAAATAAATAATAGATAAACAAGTAATGTGATGTGAATGTAAATGTTAAGATGTATTTGTGGTAAAATAACTCATCATAGATTAAGAAGGGAATGTATTAAGGTGATGGTGGGTGTAAAATTTATTAGGGCAAGAGTGGTGGATTGACTTAAATGGTTTGAGCATGTTTAAAAAAGGGTTGAATGTGCACTATAAGATGGATTGATAAGGAAATAGATGGATCAAAGGCTTCATGAATAAAGTTTGTGCAAAACTATGTGTTCAATCACTTCAAAATAAATTTGCTACTATATTTAACATTTAACATAAATTAATAGAGGTCTATGATGCACAAACACAAACATTGTTGTACATGCATGACACGACCTATAGATGAGACAACCTTTTTTCAAAATAAACAACATATTTGTATATCTATTGGTAATTAAATAGCCTTAAAAATTAATCAGGGCAAAATTAAAATAAATTTTTCTATAATGCTCAATTTCTGATATTACAAGTATTAAAAATATATGATAAAAGTCCTAATGTTTTCTTAAAAAAAAAGAAAACACCAACGAGTAATATGGAGAAGTGTTTTGGTTCTATTTTTACAAAAGGAGTGTGTGGAATGGGATATAAGTTGTAGAATGAAGAAAAGTGGTTACTATTGAGAAGTGTTTTAGGAGTTTATGAATTGGGGTATCACGAAGGGTTAGAAGTAAATTTATAAATTGCAACAAGACAAACTAAATATATGAAGTTGAGTGTTGAGCTATAAAGAAATCATAGGTAAGCGAGTAATGGGGTAGGAATGTAAATGTTAAGATGTGATTGTGGTAAAATAACAAGTTTAGATTGAGAAGTGAATGTATTAAGGTGATGGTGGGTGTAAAATTTATTAGGGCAAGAGTGGAGAATTGACTTAAATGATTTAAGCATGGATTAAAGAGGGTAGAATGTGCGCTTTAAGATGGATTGATAAGGAAATGTATGGATCAAAGGCTTCATGGATAAAGGTAGTGCAAAAATATGTTTTCAATCACTTCAAATCAAAGTTACTACTACATTTAATATTTAACATAAATGAATGGAGGTCTATGGTGCACAAGCGCAGACATTGTTGTGCATGCATGACACCACATATAGATGAGACAACCTTTTTTAAAAATACAATATGCGTAAGTATGTTAGAAACAACAAATTTGTATATCTGTTGGTAATTAAATAGCCTCAAAAATTAGTTAGGGTAAAGTTATAATAAATTGTCGGATAATGACTGAATTTTTTATATTATAAGTATTAAAAATAGTTGATAAAAGTCCTAAAATCATTTTTAAAAAAGAAATTGCCGACGCAAGAGGTATTACCCTTTGCCTTTTAAAAAGAAAAGGGATAATTTGAATTTTATAAAAAAAGTTTTTACAGTCAAGGTGTCCAATATTTGTATCTAAATATTTTTTTTAGTCTCCCCCTTCTCTCGCTTTCTCTTCCTAAATGGAGAGCTGTGTTGGGTGCATTTTCTTGTTCAAGAATTGTCAAAGCTCCATCCCTTATTTTTTGAGCATTGAATCTCTTATGGAGCGAGTATTTTTACAAAGCCATTACAAATAGTTAGGATAGTTTTAATGGCAATGATTATTATTTTCTCCTGGGCTTTAGCTACGATTGTTAAATGGTTTTCCTAGCCCATCTAAGTTTATTTAATTAGGCCCTTTTAGGACTATTTAAAATATGAAGTTTTTCTCTTATTAAAATTTAAGTTTGCTATTAGTTTTTAATTGAGTCAAAATCAACTTGAACCTATTTGAGTTAAAGCTAGGGTAAGAGTGTTCAACTTAAAATTCATTTGGAATTGTTTTCAAGTTTATGATGGTATGACAAAAATTTGATTCAAACCAATCAGAAACTAATAGTGATGTATATATTTGATAAATAGTATATGCGGGTGGTTAGGTTTTTGATCAGTTAGAGCTTAGTTATCATTTGAAGAGGTCAGAGGTCCATACCATAATCCAATATAATTTTTATTTTAATTTCAAGATGCTTCCATTGCTGGAGCTTTTGTAATATATAAATGTTCTCATGGGATGAACTTAAAGTGTTTAGCCCATTTAAGTGCATACAAATTAGTGCTATTGGAGGTTTGTTCTGATGATGGCTTGAATAATAGCATGGTCAAGTTCTTTTAAACTTGTACATGTTGGAGTCGTTAAAGTGCTAGTTGATTTGGTTTAGAAAGAAAATGATAAGATTGATTTTGTAGGATAACTTTTGAATTAGAAGCTAGTTTGAACATTAAATTTGATCACTAGTTTTTGTGGGTGCTAAAGTACTAATCTTCGGTAATGTTTGGTCCAAAGTTTAGTGGATGCACAATTTAGTCCCTTTTTAAATAATGGAATATTTAAATAATTATTCACTAAATCACATTATCCTTCCTAGGAAGTGGTTATGAGAGTGAATAGTTAAAATAAGTTTTAATTTTGAATTTTTGTTGTTTTCCAGTAATTAGATGTTTGAGCAGAATGATATTAAAAACAATTAATGTCTTCAGACCATTATAAATTTTAGCCCAGATTTTCTTTTGTTATCAAATAATCATAAAAAAATTTGTTAGGAAAAAAAATTGATTTATTTAAGAATATTGTAAACGGATACAATTTGATTTTATTTTGAAATTTAAAGAGGATTTGATTTTGGCATAGAAGGTTCAGATTCACTAGGATTTACAACTATTCATGCTATTAACGGGATTTATTTGTTTTACTTAGTAGATAAATTGAAGATGGTGTGAAAAAACGGTGTTGGATGTGGTTTAGAATATAGTAATGGATACGACATGGATGTACGATGGTACTTCAATTTGCCTTATCAAATAATCATAAAAAAAATGGATTAGGAAAATTGATATATTTAAGAAGATTGTGAATGAATACAAAAGAGGAATTGGTTTAGGCGTAGAATGTTTAGATTGATCAAAATTTACAATTAATAATGCTTTTAACGGGATTTATTTGTTGTACTTCATATTTCATAGATAAACTGAAGAAGTTTCGAAAAAAAAGTGATGTTGGATATGGTTTAGAAAAATAGTAATGAATTTAACATGGTTGTAATATTTTATCATTTAATTTGCCTTATCAAATAATCATAAAAAATGGGTTAGGAAAACTGATATATTTAAGAAGATTGTAAACGGATACAATTTGATTTTATTTTGAAATATAAAGAGGTTTTGGTTTAGGCATAGAAATTTTAGATTGATTAAGATTTACAACTAATAATGTTCTTAACGGTATTTATTTGTTGTACTTCTAGATAAATTGAAGAATTTTTGCAAAAAATGATGTTAGATATGGTTTAGAAAGAATAGTATTGGATTTAACATGGATGCATTATTGCATCCTTTATTTAGACTTTTGGAGAATTTCTGGAATACTTTTTAGAGTACCATACCCATGTGAGTTTATGGGCAATTTCTGGAAAACACATCATAGTACGTGGCCTTTTAGAGTGAATTTACTTTACAATTTATTGCCATTGCCTGGAAAAGATTCTTTCTATTAATAGTTAGCTGAAAATCCATTGATTATAAGAGCTATGCATAAAGATAGGTATGGGTACTTTATGGGCGGCATTTTTCTTGTTTATTTTAGAGTTATTAAGTAGATTTGTGGTCGTATTATTTTTTTTATCATAAATCATGTTTTTCGAAGAATTAATACTCACTATTATTTCCTTTTTTTTCATTGTAAATTTCTTGGCAGGTGAGAGTCCTATGTGACAAAGCAAAGGAGATTTTAATGGAAGAAAGCAATGTGCAGGTAAGGTTATGTTCATCATATTACCAATTATTGGCTGCTTCTTGGTCTTATTATGTGATAAAAAAACAATATTTTTTATTTTCATAAAGTTTGGTTTGCTGTTTTTATGTTTTATGACTGCAGTTTCATTCTCTGATTTGTTGGTACCTATAGAATTCATTTTTCTATAATACTTGTGATGTTACGGAAGTGACATGCTTGTGAAATGAAAGGTGAATTTTGTGTAAAGGTTTGATTCGCAGAAATATTTTCCTTAATTCCTTCTGTTGCATTCCTTTGAGCTGTATAAAATATATTTGATTTGTTTGTTCTGTAAATTTTCTTGCCTTGGTTTTGCACAAGTTTGATGACGGCAGCTATTCATAATTATTTGAATCAGTTGTCAGTTGTTGCATAAAAATGGTTTTGGGATGCTTGAAAATTTCCTTATAAATTTATTGTTATATTTTTGAAGATTTACCATTTTTGACCTTCACCTGTTTATTCACATTTCTTCATGCATCTTTATGGTCGATTTGTATTCAATCTGGCTATATTGAGAATCTACCAGCTTTACCTTTTCTCTTGAGAATGCAGAACCATTCATTCCATACACATGGCTAATATTTAATAACGATGATGGAAAAAATGGAATTTAATGATTTGAGTGTACTGTTTGAAATATGTGAAACATGTATTGGAGTTTGTAACATCTTAACCAGAAGAATCGCTGGAGTCACCACTGTAATGTAACCTGGCAAATGAAAATTTGTGTAAAGGTTGCATTTGCAGAATTATTTTCCTTACTGCTGTAGCTTTCCTTTGAGCTTCATAAAATATAATTCATATATTCATCCTGTAAATTTTCTTCCCCTGATTCTGCACAAGTTTAATGACACGGCTATAAATAATTCTTTGAATCATTTGTTACTTGTTACCTAAAAATGGTTTTTGTATGCTTGCAATTTTCTTTATAAATTTATTGTTTTGTTTTTGAAGATTTACCATTTTTTACCTTCTCTTGTTTCTTCACATTTCTTCATGCATCTATATGGTCGACAGCTATATTGCGAATTGGCCAGCATTAGCTTTTCTTTAGAGAATGCAGCACCATTTATTCATCATTGCATTTCATTCCATACGCATGACTACTATTTAATAACGATGATGGAAAAATTGGAATTTAATGATTTGAATGTACTGTTTGAAATCTGTAAAACATGTGTTGGAGCTTGAGATCTTAACCAGACAAGAATCTCTAGAATCACCCCTGTAATGTAATATCTGGTAAATGATTATTGTTTTGTCCAACAATAACATCAATGAAAAATTAAGCTGATTTCAAATTTTGTATGATTAAATGTAGCAGAAATCTAAAATTATGTACTTTTCAGGAGCATAGAAAGTGAAAAGTAAGATTAGATTTCGGGTAGGGCTTTAATTGAGCTGAGTCAAGCAGAGTATGTTCTTGATTGGACTTGTCTTGGCTATATTATAAGCTGTTCGTGTTTGGCTTAACCGCGAGCCAATCTTTCACATATATGTTCATACTTGATTAAATTTTTTAAAATCATACTTGTCTTGTATTTGATTTGTTTATGTTAATTAAATGAGTACTTTAACGGGTTAATAAATAAGCTAAAATTTGAATGTGTACTTAGCTTTTCATATAAAGTTATTAACAAATGATTTTATAAATCTAAAATAAATTTTGAAATGCCATCAAACTAGTTTACTCCAATTACATTAGATCATAATAACCTACAACTAGGCTTGCTCGCAATAAAATAGTTATAAATAAATACTAACAGACTATTACATTGAAGTAAAGAAATAAGAAGCAATTGTAATAAATTTTAAGGCATATTGATATTAAATTATGATATTTGAATATTAAATATGTAATCAAGTAGGTTTTAGGTAATCAAATTTTATTTAAATAATATATCATATATGATACATTCTATTATCTAGATTATTATTGAGCATTTAACAAGTTGCCAGTTTAATAATAAACCTATTTGTTCGTGAACATAAATAAAAGATTCGGATTGTGCTTTAGTTTAGTTCATTTAAACATCAAGCTTTTAAAAAATGTTCGCACTTGTTTATTTACTAATTTGAACAAACTTTATTGAGTATTTAATTTGAGTTTGAGTTGTTCATTGAGTGCATTGGTTCATTTACAACCCAATTTGGGGGCCGTTTGGTTGCTTGCAAAATGGGTGTTCTTCATTCCAAATGCAAGGGTATTTGAAATTTGAGTGCTTGAGAAACATAGATTCGAGTTTTTGTGTATTTCAAATTCACCAAATTTATTCGAGTTTTAAATGCTACCATCAATAATCACCATTTGGCTGCTACCACTGGTTTGTAGCTGACAGTCGCTGCCACCGCCATCACCCGTTCCCTTTGGCAAACTCCTGGCTGCCCGTCCTAGCCGCAGCTTGCCTTTTGCAATTGCCATTTTTGGCCACCAACACCGATCCCACTTGCTAGTCACCACCTTTTGGTTTTATAATGGGTTTCATTTTACCTTAAATCAAACATAAAAAATAATCTTCTACATTTATTCTATATCTAAACGAACAACTTAAATATTTCAAATACAATATATTTTAGGGGTTTTTACATACATAACACACAAAACATTGCTATTTATGTATTTCACATCCCAAACTCTAATATTATGAAATTTACACTTCTGTTAACTCTTTCGTCTCCATCCTTATCTGACGAGACCTCCAAACCTCCCATCCAGTCTTCATCGGAGACGAAGCATGAGAGGTCGCGAACTCCAAGGGATTGTGAAACTCTAGGTCTTCACATATGTCTTATACCTTGCATTGTACTTGTTTGGTATCACATTCATAGCTTCATTAATGGTCTTGAGGTTTTCACTTTCGTTATTGGCGATGGTAATGTTGGGCCGGAGTTTGTTTTGTAACTTCTCCCTTAGGTGGCGGCAAGTTTCATCGGCGATCCAAGTTACTAAGTCGTCAAGATGGAAAGAAACGACATTTGTGAGGTTAGGCTGTGGTGTTTTCAGCGAGGTTGCGGCCGTCAATGTAGTCGTGGCCGAGAGCAGGGAGGAACTTGGAAGTAGCACCGACAATGGTGAGGGTGTTTCTTGTTAGCTGCTTGCTGGTAGGCTTCCAGCATCTTCGATTTCTCTTCCCCGGCTGGAAATGCGTCAACGCACATCTCCTGTTGAAGGAATGTAGTTTGATTTCATAGTTGGAAGAAGAAAGTGGTGAATGAAGAATTAGCCCATTTAATTATTATAAGAATCAGCTGAAATCGTCGTCAGCATTTCAACAGAGAAAGATTGGAACTTGGTTTGCGTGCAAAATTGGGAACTAAATAGGACTAGTGTTGGGTAGGAGCGTGGCATAAGGAGAAAGAAGGGAGTTTTGGAGGTCTTTGTTCGCTGGTTCTAGTGATTTTCGCAACTCCGACAACTTCACGTGGAATTTAGGAGAAAGATGGGAGTTTCGGGGGTGTTTGTATGCCAGTTTTACGGGATGAAGTTGCACATGGAAGAGTTGACGAAAATTAGAATTTCATAATATTAGAGTTTGTGGTTTGAGAAACGTAAATAGCAATGTTTTGGTATTATGTATATAAAAACTTTTACATTTTAACTACACTGAATCTTTTTACTCTTCATTTTTTTCTTAAGCCAAACAAATGACCTATTTATGAGTTTAGTTATCTTTTTTTTATTTGGTTTATGTTGACATATGCCTGGGATGATGATCCTATTAAAAACGGATTGTGTTCTCCAGTACTTTGAATACCTCTTTTCATTTTGTCTACAATTGCAAGTAGAGTTTCAATTCAACGCTTGGGTTTTTTCAAACAGTTGTATTGGTACATGAGGTCTTTCATTCAACTTTATTTGGAAGTTCTGAAATTCACTGATCTTCTGCTTTGTGTGGAATTTCCATTGAATTCCTCCTGTGAAATCGTCTCCGAAGTTCTTATGCGTCTTACCTTATGAACTTATTGTATTGCATTGTAGCTGGCAGTTTTTATATGTAATATTTCCTGCAGCAGCGCGCCCAATTGACAGTTTGTGCATATGAGCATGCCTTCTCTGTTCTGCAGTAATTATCATTGCTGTGGGATTCAAACGTTCCTTAGAATTCTGATTTTGGCACTATTACAGGCACTGAAATTGGGAAACTGAGAATTGCTTGAATTTGAAAAAAAAAGGGATTTTATTGAACTGAGATTGCGAAATAGACTGGATTAAAAATTGTAAGTTTTGGCAAGCTATTGGAGGAATTACATATTTTTGATCCTTGGTAGGATATAAATAGGAACTTATGGCATGTAAACATCGTTGAATATTGAATACTTGAATAAGATTTATTTATTTTTTTCCTCTCAAGTCTTGTGTATGCTGTTTGATGTGTTTTTCTGCTGTATATGTTTTGATAACTTATAGATGACAATTTTTCTCTTACCAACATTTGGCTTACATCAAATGATGACTTTTTTATTTATTTTCTATTGAATATTTTAGTAATTGTTGTGTATGCATGTTTATGATTTTGCCAAGTTTGATAATATGTTTATTTATGTTTTTATTATAAAATTTTATATTCTTAGATTTCCGTAAAATTTTCAGATTTTGACATTTGTTAGACGTCTAATTAATCATATTTTTCTTATTTTGTATCTATGTTTACTTTTTTTTTTAAAAATTAACCTATTCTTATGATTTTTTTTGCTTCATCTGATATATGTTTTCATTTGTGTTTCTTTGGGGTTTGCCGTACCACAAGTTGTTTTTGATAATATATTTTTTAATGCTTTGTCCATTTTTATGTTTTTTTAGTTTTTTTTCTTTTGCATCAATAATGTTTAGTCTTTCCTTGGAACTGTTTTGTTTATTTGTGTTTTTCATAATTTTATTAAGAAAATGTGTTGTGTTGTGCATTGCTGGACGGGTGGCATTCATTGTGAGTTTTTTTTTTTTTTTCCTTTATTACTGTATTACATTATCAATGCCAATTGGTATCTAATGTTATATAGTTGAGCTTATTACTAACTTCCTTTTTTTTAATTCTCATTATCGTTTTGCAATGCACCAGCTATTTGTGATAATGCTAACGATGAGTTAACTGTCATTAAAAGGCCAAGATGGAACTGTTTTTATTAATTATGAAAGTTTTTAATTTGCAACATGTAGGTATATCTGCTGGTTGTTATATTGTATTTAACTTGACTTCAATTGTTTTTCGCACTTGCTGAAAGCTGTCAAACATGTAAACCAATTTAGAGCATCTTGTCACAGACAAAAAAGCGGCTAGGTGTAGGGCCGAAGAACAGTATTTAAGTCCTGGGCTGCCCACCTCTCTTAAAAGCTCTTTTGGAAGATGACAAGTGATAGTAGAGCAGATTATTGTCTGCCAGGTGTGTGAACTCTCCACGGTATAGTGAGATCCTCGGAGGAGCCTATCCGTGACTAGGGCGTCACGCAATTGGGTGGAGGAGAATGTCACGAATAAAAAATCCCACATTGACTAGGTGTAGGGCCGAAGAGCAGTGTTTAAGTCCAGGGCTGCCCACCTCTCTTAAGAGCTCTTTTGGGAGGTGACAATCTGCTAAGCATTGTGTTGGTTCAATTCTTCTGGTGGCATTTGTGGTTTCATTATTTCTGTCACTTACCCACATGTCTCAAGCGAGGGTTTCCATGTAAAATTACAAAATTTTCCACTTAGAATAGGTTAATTTTTTTTTGCTACAAAAGATACTATCCTCATCCTCGATAATTTTGGCAAATGAAGTTGATCTTCAACCCAAGCATACTATCACTTTGATTTTTATTTTGGCTATGGATATGCATTTCAACATGTTCTAAGTTGATGCTAAGGGCTTCGCTCTACCTCAAGATGTTTTTAATTGTGAATGCTTTGTCCATTTTTATCCTTTTTAATTGTAGTCCTTACTTTTTTTTTCTTTTGTATCAATAATGTTTCATCTTTCTTGGAAACTCTTTTCTTTATTTGCGTTTTTCATAATTTTATTAAGAATATGTATCGCGTTGTGGGTCGCTGGTTGAGAGGCATCAATTGTGAGTTTTATTTGTTTTCTTTATTACTGTATTACATTAGCAATGCCAACTGGTAACCAGTGTTATATAGTTGAGCTTATTACTGACTTTTTTTTATTCTCTTTATTATTTTCTTTTTTTTGCAATGCAACCCAATTAGTTGTGATAATACTATTGATGAGTTACCTGCCCTGCCATAAAAAAGACCAAGATGGAACTGTTTTTATTGATTTTGAAAGCTTTAAATATGCAAAATGTTGGGATATATTCTGTTTTTTATATTGCATTGAACTTGACTTCAATTGTTTTTAGCACTCATTGAAATTTGTGAAACATGTAAACTAATGTAGAATATCTGCGAAGCATTGCGTAGGTTCAATTCAATCCTTCTGGTGGCATTTGCGGTTTCATTTTTTAATTATTTTTACTCGCCAACATGTCTCAAGCGAGGGTTTCAAAGTAAACTTACAAAATCTTCCATATAGGATGGGTTAATTTATTTTTGCTGCAGGAGACACTATCTTCATCCTAAAAAATTTTTGGTTTTTTTAATCTTTTCTTTTGTTTAAATTGGAAAGGAAGTTGATTTTAAACCCAATCATACTATCGGTTTGGTTTTGATTTTGGCTATTTATATGCATTTCATCTTGTTCTAAGTTGCCCTATGGATGTTTGGTTGTTTCTTGTTTGAGTATGTAACTGAAGCAACCTTTGATTGGAAGTACCATATTACTATAGTTGAAAAGGAACTTAATTGTTCATATATGAATGTAATTGTTCATGTTTGAATTACTGACTTGATGTAGTGCATATTATTACCGATGCACGTCTTCTAATTTGAGTATGAAACTGAAGCAATCTTTGATTGAAAGTACCATATTACTGAAAAAAACCTTGCAGTTGTATTACAATTATGATGTAGTTGTGATGCAGATTGCATATTTTAATATATTTATGTTTGTTGTAGGTCATCTGACTAACTTGAAATCGGAATTAGGCTTTCCTATTTCTTTTATTTGAATGGCTCTTCATCCTTTCCAAGACTATAGTTTTTCATAGGGAACTTCAGGAACACGTTGGTACTCTGTTTTCTTGGATGCGTCTTTTTGATGGATCATTATTCTTTGATCCCTTGCCATATGCTTTGGGATAGAGTGCAGCATAGCTGATTCTTCCAAAAGTTATTTTGATTTGAAGGAGAAGGCTTCGCTTTGCTTTGCATGCTATATTTCTGGTTTCGAATTTGAACATGTTAAATTGAAGCATGTAGAAGTTGTTTTAGAATAATGATTCATTCCTTAAGTAGCCTACTCTTATGATGGGATTTTTTTTTTATTTTAATTTTCGTGTTTGTAGTTGATTAGATTGAATGCCAGTCTATAGGCTTCTGCTATAGATATGAGAATCAAGAGAATGCTCATCACTTATTGATTTAAAACCTTTTGTTTTGTTCCTTCACAATTGTTTCACGTTCTATTGCTGAATTTTGAAAATAACACTGTCAATTCTAAGATTTTGTCTTCAACGAGAAGTTAGCATTGATTACTAATCTTTAAATTTTTTTTTTATTGTGTAATCATATTTGGATTGTGCAAAGTTCTCCTAACGGAGAGTTTGCATGTCATTCTGTTTTGAAAATTTTTAGTTTTTGTTATACTTTCATTGTGAAAGTGATAATGTACTGCAAAATGTTTTTACAGGTCTGTTAATTTTTTTTATGTTACCAACTCCTTTGTTGAAAAGTTGATATTTTTGTGGTAGGACTGTTGGATTAGTATCTATTGAAGATAAATTAGCGCCTAACTGATTTTTGTGCATGTACAATGAATGGTATAAGATGCACCAATAAGAAGGGTAGCTTAAATCATTGTAGAAAAATTATGAAGAAAGGTAAATGATAACATGAATTGAAGCTGTGCTACAAGAGTAAAATAGCTTTAATACCCCATGCATCAATAAATAGAAATAAATGGAGACTTATAGTTCATAAAACTGATCCCAAATGGTTGGGATAAGGCAAATGATGATGAGTTAATGTGGTTTGTGCTTTTCTATGAATGTCTTTGGAGTACTGATATTCAATCTCCATTGGCAGCCTGTGAAAAGCCCTGTGACAATTTGTGGTGACATTCATGGACAGTTTCATGATCTAGCGGAATTGTTTCGTATTGGTGGAAAGGTATCTCTTTTACATGATAAAATTATAGTTATGCTTTCAATTTGTACTTGATTGTGTTTCAGAGCATTTATTTTTTTGACAAGTTTCATTTAAAAATATATGGAGCTAGGGATCTCTAGTAATATTGTTGACGAGAATTCTTTTTTTTTTTTAGTGCCCAGATACCAATTACTTGTTCATGGGTGATTATGTTGATCGTGGGTATTATTCTGTTGAAACTGTCACGGTAAGAAAGATTCACATGTGCTACACTTTGTGTGAAGTAAAATGCTTTTAGTTTGGTTCATATTGCACATATGGTTGAATAATCATCAATCCCACCTAGAAAACAGCCAGATGGGTAAAAAATGAACTCAACTGGTTATGGCTGACTCTAATGTATATGCTACTTTTTTATTCTCTGACGTTGAAACTGTTTCGGTTGGCTGTGGACATTTACCATTTTCATAACCTCAAGTATTCTCTATTTCACAGCTTCTAGTGGCTCTCAAGGTGCGTTACTCTCAGAGAATCACAATCCTCAGGGGCAATCATGAAAGTCGGCAGGTACACTGATCTAGACCTTCTTTTAGAGTTGCGCCCAATTTTTGTTGCAATTATGGAGGGGTTTGCCCTGAACATGGCTATTTCTCTGCACAAATTAGGTCCATTAGATGAATTTTTCTCTATTTTTTTCCAATTGATTGCTAAATATCTCTTATTTGAAATGAAGAATACTTTAAAAATTGCAGATCACTCAAGTTTATGGATTCTATGATGAATGCTTAAGAAAGTGAGTTTCTACTCTACACCTTGACTCTTGAAGTTTTGATTTATTTTGTATTTCTATTATTTGTTAGAGGTATGCTTAAATTGAAGTCTTCTCTATATGAAAGCTTGATTTTGTTTTCTCTTCGTAAGCTTTATGTACATCTTGGTTTTAAATTTTTCTTTATCACTTCATGATTGGCCTATTTGCCCAGATTAAAAGTAAGTATGATAGTTATTCTATCTGCTAGTTTTTTTCCCCTTCTATTTTGTTTTTAAATCTCTAATAAATTTGCATGTTGGTTGGTATGTTTGGTGCCTTGCTCTCATAAGTTCTTTTTTAATTTTTGAATGTATTGATAATTTGTGGTTCTAGTCCCACAAAATACATATTTTGGCTTATTTAACTACATAACCAATCAAAGTTTTATTTGAAATATCTCATGTTATTGGTTGCAACCAATGATTATCAGGTTCGGTATTTTTATGCTATATTCTCAACATGCACGTTTTTAGTTGTCTTGGGTGATTTTATATTCATACCTTGTTACATATTTGAAGAGTATTTTATTAATTCTAATTATTTCTGTATTCTTTATTTACTGAATTTTAAGTAATATCAGAGAACCCCTCTTTCCGAAATGCAACTTCTCTCTTTCCTTCAGGAATTTCAAAACTTATATGTATGGAAATGGTAGTATCAGCACTAATTTTTTCCATACAATCTAACCTTCCTCTAATCTATTGTTTCCTTAGTCGTCCTACAGTAATGAGCCCATATTATTTTATATCTTTTGTTTATTATGTTTAAAAAACAGTGAAGTTAAAGCCCTGAAAGTGGTTCTAAATTCTACTGGTTTAGAATTTTTAGTTTTTATCAACATCTTTCGGTATGCAACCTTTCCTCTTCGCTATATTATTTTAAATTTTTAAGCTTTAGTAAGGGCATCTTTTGACTCATTTCTACGGCAATATATTGCTTCTAATTGTTGATTGTACTATGTTGAGCGTCTTGGCTATAAATGGCTTGCTTTATAGGTCAGTCTAGGTTGATGATCATAATGAGTAAAAAATTAAATTCGGAAGTAAAGCAAAAAATGAACCAATTCGTGTACGTATTAGTCATGTCCGTTTTTATTTACTTATCAAGTTTAACCTTTATTATTATTATTTTTTTTCAATTTAAGCTTTAATTGAGCAAAAATAATTACCAGTTTTTTGCTATTGGTCTAAACTTTATGCTTATTATTAGAAAAATAAATTTATCACTTTACGATAAAATTGACATATTTCATTAATTATTATTTATATTATTTGGTTAAATTCAAATATTTATAAAAATTATGTGTGTGTGTGTGTATATATATCACACACACATAATTTTTTATAAATATTTGAATTTAACCAAATAATATAAATAATAATTAATGAAATGTCAATTATATATATATATATATATAGACACACACACACACACACACACACAATTTTGTATAAATATTTGAATTTAACCAAATATTATAAATACTAATTAATGAAATATGTCAATTTTAATGTATATATGTATGGATGTGTATATCATAGTGCTTATATCTCAAACATATGATATAAGAAAATTAATATAAAAATATTATCTTTTCAGTGGTGTTCAATTTATTGTTCAATATTTCAAGGTCTAAGTTCTTATATGATAGTGGTTTTAAGACCTCAATCATTTGGACCTATAGAGCAACGTTGTTACATTTCTGTCGTATTTTTGGGTTTATCTTGGTGCCAAAATGTGAAAGAAAATCTTTTTTTAAATCATTTATTGTTAAAATTCATCTCAAACCCACTGATTAGAAATGTGACACATTATATAGAGGGAGTGGTAAATTCTTTTCTACTCTGTCCTCAAGTTATATCTTTGTATTATCAATTTTTTTTTATTGGTTTCTAATTGGGTTTTAAACAAAACATAGGCATTAAACGGAGAGGTATGTAAGATGGTTTATGTCTTAACCATCCTAGTTGGAAATATATTTGTAGGCTTGCAGAATTTGGTGGTCTTGGTGTTAAAAAACTTCAAAGCTTTTAATGTGTCTTCTTAGCAAATGAATTTGGAAGTTCTTAAATTCTAGCAATTCTACTTTTATTACTATTGTTGTCAAGAATTATATTTGTAATTATGAAACCTGTTTTCTGTATTAAGGAGGCATGATTGGCTAATGCTTTTACTTTAATCAAAGTGTTGGAGACTTTCTAAGTATTGTAATCCTCTTTGTTTGTTAGTCTGCAATACCAATGATTTGGGATATCACATTCTATGGAAAAAAAAAATCTTTTGTATCCTTTAAATAATATTTGTGTCCTCTATTACTGCATTAATATGATCCACTTATCTCATTTAAAGATATTCATAGAAGTTAATCTATGTATAAGTTCCTAATGAATGGGGATGCCACTTCATAGATCCCTTGGATTTGGAATCAAATTATTGCTTCATTCATGCTCTGGCGGTTTATATGAGAAAGGTACCTAGCAAAGTAATCTTTGTAAATTTGGCAATATCAACTCTTATGTTTGTAGTGTGTAATGTTGCTCTTGATGACAACTTTCATTTACTCTCTAATTATTGAGTCATTAGTAGTATTTGGAGGTGATTATATCAGCTGCTAGGAGTTTCTGTTTCTAAGTTGCATTCAATGAAGTTTTACAATTTGGAGGGACAATATTTTAATAAAGGGTTGACTGATCTTTGGATCATTTGGAATGAACGTAACTTTAGATCTTTTAAACTAAAAATTGGACGTCAAAACTCTTTTGTTTAGCATCCTTTCCTTCGTTCATTTCAAGATTGTTTTTGGTAGAGGAATACCTATTTCAAATCTACCATGGATTTACCCAAGTGGTTGAACGCTAACAAGGTTCCTTTTTTGAAATTTCTTGCTAATCATATCTTTGTATCTCTGTTTTTATTTTCTGCTCTCTCTCTCTCTCTCTCTCCCCCCTCTTTTCTACTTTTAACTTTATTTATTGGTTTTAATGAGAATGGTTTGCCCTATCTTTTTTATCTTTGAAGGAAAAAAATACTTAACCCTCATAAGACCGTCCATTTATAGTGGTTAAACTTTGGGAAATTTGCCTTCTCAAATTTTTGTAAATTATTGTTTTTAGCTAATTCAAGTCTCATTTTTTATAATAGTTTTCTTTCTCCTGCCATTTCATTGAAAAATTATCTCGCATTTTAAGGATATATGATTTGATATTCGATTGATATAATTTTTTCGCATTTATTATGTAGTGTGAGCAAATCCATCACGATCTAAAATGAATTTCTCAATTACTTCCCCACTGTTTATGGCTGAAATGACTGCTTTGCCCAACATATATGATAATTTTTATGTAAATTTGTTACTTTTTTTCCCCAGTGAATCACGTCTTGTGGTACTCAATTATTTGGATTTTTAAGTCTAGAAAGTGCCATTATGAGGATTTTTTATGTTTATTAGTTTTTTTTTGGGAAATTTACATACTTAGCACTCAATTCTTATGGATTTACGTATCTCACACCTAGACTTTCATATTTACAAACATAGCCTTTTACCCATGTATGAAAAGATAAATTTAGCCATGAAAAAGTGTAATTACTGCTATTTTTTATGTGATAGGAAAGCTAAAAATGAAAGTTTTGGTGTGCGAGACGTAAATTGATAAGAATTGAGTGCTATATATGTTAATGCCCCTAGTTATTTTTGGTAAATTTTATTTGTTACCTTAACTTGAATGCTGCTTCTACTGACGATTTTCATTGGCAATTTGACATATAGCCAAATCAATTCTCTAATATCAATGCAATTATCTTTAGCATGCGTTCTAGTAGGTTCCTTTGATGATTTGTAGGCTTGATTACTACTTCAGACAGTGATGAACTCCTTTTTATTTATAAATGTTGATATTAAAATTTTCTTTTCAGCAGCTTTGGTTTTGCGTTTATTGAAAAGATTTTTAAGCCATGTTTTCTTTTACTTCTTAAATTTTATATTTTATTTTATCAGATAATAAAGTTTTGCCAGCATGCATTTCTTTCTAAAGTTAACTGAAAAAAAAAAAATCACAATTTTGAATTAATGTACATTATATTTGATGTTAATTTTTTTTTTTCTTTTGGAGAGTAGAATAAGTAGGGGGAAGGAAGAGTATTTTCTAAGTTGAGAAATGTGAATTATTGATCTGGGGGTGTTTCTTGCCTGGTCAATAAACCTATGGTCCAGGTTTACTTAGTTTGGTTAAGTTGGTGTCCTAGAACAGTTGCTAAGCTGCTTTGGAAAGTTTATTTGGAGCAAAGAAGGTATAAATAAAATATAAAAGATGGCGGTCTATATGAGGTTTTTGTTCTTCTGTTTTATTCAAAAAGTTTGCTGAAGTTATATTGGAGATGAAAAAAAATTGATTACTTGAAATTATTTAAATTTACTAGTTGAAGGATTTTCTATTTTGAAGTAGTGAAATAAGATATAAACAGGGTATTGTGCTATTTTTGCATGATCATGTTTTAATTTTGCATTGTTTTATGGTACATTCAGGATGTTGGGCTTCCGAAGTGGGAACAGAAAACGCATGCTGTAGTATAATCTGATTGGTTTTTGCTAGTGATCTGGATAAAGTGTCAATTTTAGTCTCTTTATTGTGTTTCTTTATTGACGTTGGTTGGGCAAATTCTTCAAGAAACATTGGCTTCTCTCCATTTTTGAAAATTACCGATAACAGTTGCTTTGAGCTAATAAAGTACTTTGACTTGTCAATCGCACTTAGCATGTAATTTTTGTTCAGAGAATTGAAGGCAGGTGTGGAAGGAACAATATTTAAAGCAATGAAAAAATGGAGTAAAATGAATTTTAATGTTGTAAAACGATTAGGGTTTTTTTTTTCCCTTCTGTCCTTTTTTTTTCTTTTATGCCTTGAGGGATGCCTGGCAACATTTTTGAACTCTACATGATATTAATCTTTTGACATTTGAAAGCACTGCAGGTCATTATTTCATGCTATATCATCACATGTGACATGGAACACCTTACTCTGGGTTTAAGAGTAATGCTTTATCATCATATGTTACATGGGATACCTTGCTCTGGGTTCAAGAGTGATAGTTTATTTTGTAAATATTGCTGCAACATTTTTCTAAACTTTTCTATGTATTAAAAAAAAGAAGTTGCTCTTCTCTGAAAATTTTAGGGTTTTCTAATGTCATGTCACCTGGCAGGGACAGCATGGTGTAACGTTTAAACCATACATGTCTATGATTTATTGGATTTTCTTAGGCGCTGTTCGGGATCACTTTTTGTTTCAGATTTTTATTTTTTATTTTTTATTTTTTATTTTGTTTTATTTATGTTTTCACCTAAAATGAAACATGTTTGATATGCTATAACGTGGTGTGTTGTTTTTAAAAACACTTAACACAACTATTAAATGTATTGAGTATTTTTAAAAATAAAGAATAAAGACATGCAAAAAAAAACACTAAAGAAACATCTTTTAAAAATAAAAGCAAAAGCAAAAGCACAACAAAAGTGATCCCAACCAAGCCCTTAGCATATCCCATTTTGTTGAAGTATATTTTTATGTATTTATTCTTTTTTTTTTTGGGCGAAATGATCTATAATGTGTTTTTCAAACTCTCAGTTTCTGTTGTTATGTCTTATCTTTTTTTTAAAGTCATGATTTAGTTTGATTGGGGTTCGTTTGGTTGAATGTATTTGTAGTGTACTGTATTTGGAGTGCAGGATATTTTAAAAAAAATGTTGTTTGGTATGAGGAATTTGAAAAGTGGTATAAAATTTTAAGGAATTCAAACTTATTCTGTAGTTTATTTTTGGTGCATTCCAAATAGGCCATAATTGGCTGATTTTCAAACACGTTGGAGAATCATGCCACTCGCTTCAGCCACAAAACAACGCCTGCCCATTTATCGCTAGCTGCAAATGGCTGGCGCTCGACAGCCTTCTATTGCTGTTGTCAACTGCTGCTTCTTGTCACCACTGCCAGCCATCACGTCATCAGTTAATCATCGAGATTTTCATTGATTTTATTTTACTTAACAAATTTTAAAAAAGTAATCTTTTTTGTTTGTTTGACACCTAACCAAACTTAAATATTTCAAATACACTTCAATTTAATTACACTATCCCTATTTTCAACTTAACAGCCCCTTAGTTTATTTGTTTGTTTTTGCAATGTTTTTAGAATAATTTTTTAGGGGTGTAGAAGGCCTTTGGATTCTTTCATTGGTGAAAGCTATATATACCGCTAAATGATGCAGACTAGTGATTTTGCTTCTCTCCTAGTTTAAAGCTATTATTATAACAAGCTTGGGTGGACACTTGATTTTTCATTTCAGCTTTAGCTTAAACAATGAATGTAGTTCTTATTGTTGCTGTTATAATCTACAAAATGTTCTTTTGGTTCTTATTACGGACTGAACCAACATTTTTTAGTACGGCGGCAAAATCACCAAATATTTAATTTTTTAAAAGTATTGGGCAAAATAGTATAATGAAGCATGCCAAACTTGCTAAATTACGTAAACTGCATAAGAAATATATTAAATTTTATTATTTAAATTGAGAAATTATAATTCCTGGGCCACGCTGGGCGTAACTTAGTTCCGCCCACTGGTTCCTTAGCTTATATGAGATCATTAGTGCTTTTTCTTTTTGGTATTATGTTTTTTGGAGTTTGCAACGTTTGGTTGGAGATGTGATTGTGCCCATGCATGCCTGATCGGTTGTTTTTTTCTTTTTTTCCGCAGGTATGGAAATGCAAATGTATGGAAGATATTTACAGATCTCTTCGATTATTTCCCCTTGACTGCATTGGTTGGTCCTTGAACTGCTTTCTATTGTGTATATTTGATATTATCAATTTTTTGCCCTGCAATGATGTTTGTTATCTTTATGCAGTTTGTTAATGTTTTACAAATGTTTCTATGGCTTCCCTCTCGGCATATGCTTTTTTATGTAGGTGTCTTTATATTGATTTTTACTGCTGTTCGCCGAAAACTGGGCTTTGTTGGAAGTTAATGATGCCTGCTGATAAACAGTTGATAGATTTAACATTCTGGAATTTTCAATACAACTTTTTGGAGGGTTATAAGTGTAATCTGATTGACTGCATTTCTCATTAGAACCCTTTTCATTTTACAAACTACTTCTTATTACCCTTTTTTTAGCCTCCCTTTTCTAATGTGCAACAATGCATTTTTATGTCTTTATATTGCTCTCAAGCACTTTCAGGACAGTTTTTGATACTTTGATAGAACTTCAATTTATATATATATATATATATATTAAGGGTGTGAGAGAAATGTTTTTTGTTTTTTTCACAATCCTTAGATCTCCATGCCATTATTTTTGTTTTGGTATGTTAAATATGATAATTTTTTTTATATGAATTCATTTGAATTTCTATATTAACATGTTTATAATGAAAATGTATTAAGAAATACTGTTTTTATTTTTATTTCAAATTAAATTTTCGTTTTTTGCTCTTTCAACCTTATGTTAATGTTCAATTATTTTCTTTTGCTCTGCAATCTACCTAGGTTCTGATTTACTAGAATGCCGTTGTGGTGACAATTTCACTAGGGATTCAATCATCTTCTTAAACTTGGTTTAGAAATTTTTCTCACGCTATATCTATTCAAATGCTTGTTTGGGTCTGTGAGATAATAGCACAGATCCCCTGGCTTAAATCTGAATGTCATTCAATGATCATCACTCGTTTGATTATGGGAGATTTAGTTTGTTTTATAGATAGATTAGCTATTTCTAATGTTGAATTTTGACACGTAATTATTTTTAATAGAGAATGTTAATCAATGTAAATTTAGAACTAGGCATTCATTTTTCATTGATGAATATCTTCCTAGTGATACCGGAGTTAACCCAAACAACAGGAAATCAAATATTATTTCTTGAATTAAATAGACGGTTACAATCAAACACTTTTAAGGGAAAATACAACACATATGCCATGCCAACTCGCCTTAGGCCGGATCCAGGGTGATAGTGGTGACAATTAGGGGGCTTGGAGAGGTGGCGGCAAGGTAGGGATGGAGTTTCCGGGCTGTTAAAGAGGGGCGGCTGCGATTTTGGGCTGTTGGAACAGCAGGACAGCTTGCAACATCTTGCCTTCGCTGTTTTCCTGCTTTTCGGCCACCCCAAACAGCAAACTGTTGCTGTTTGGGCTGCTGTCCCTTGCTTCCATGCTGTTCCAGCAGCCCAAAATTGCTGCCGCCCCTCTTCCACAGCCCGGAAACCCCTTCCCTACCTTGTCGCCATCTCTCCATGCACCCTAACCGTCACTATCATCACCCGGGATCCACCCTAACTCGAGTTTGTGTGTCGCGTGTACTGTATTTTTCCTTTCAAGTGTGTTTGTTTGATTGTAATTGCTTATTTACTTCTACTAATAATATTTGATTTTTTATTGTTGTTTGGGTTAACTCTGGTATCAATGGTATTTGTTAGTTAAACTTGGCTTTTCTCAGCTTAAATGGCTGAACTCAACCGGAGATGTGAGCAGCAAAGTGTGACCAGAAACGCGGAGCAAATGGAGTGGTGTTAAAAGTGATTTAGTTACAGGCAGACGAACGCTAAAATGGATAAATGCCATTCTGTGTATCGGAACGTAGTTTAAAGCCTTTTCAAATAAGGCCTACAAATTGGAATTTAGTTTAAAAGCCTTTTTAAACGAGGCCCTACATGACTATGAGGACTTCTTTTGGATTCCATTTTTCAACTATATTGCATTTTAAAAAATAGGAAACTTCTTAGCTGTACTTTTTTTGGATCTTCCAGTTATTTTATTTTGCTTGACATTCCAGTATTGTGGATGAAGAAATCAACAGCAGAAAAGGTTGTGTTCCACAATTAAATGGCATGGTTCTACTTACGTAATGTCATTGAAAGACCTTGTCCCTCACTTCTTGTTATTATAGAAGTATTTAACTTCCTTTGACTTTGAAACCGTGCCTACTATAATAGTCATTCTCACTGAGCAAGCAGACGCTAGATGTGAAAATGAGTGATGGAGGCTGCAGCATGTCAAGGAGTAACCGTAGAAGGCAGGGGAGATGCAGGTTGCGGAGGAACATGAGCAAGGGAATCCTGTCACCTTTCTCGTATCATGCAAATTTGTGAGGCAACTCCAATTTTTTTGAAAACTATAGGTTAGGCTTACGTGGAGATAAATAATAAATATTTGCATTATCAAATGGGATTTTTATCAAGGATCCCACTAAAAAAAAAAAATATATTGGAGTTGCATTTGATTGAGAATCATCATTAAGGTAGTTTTTTCGTCAATTGTAAAATAGTCTCAAATAATTAAATTAATCAAAGCGGAAACTAATTTTAATGCTCATGATGCCACTAACATAGCACCTGGAAATTGCTTGTATAATGCATAAACACATATTTATTTTTTTAAATATAATTTCATCTGATGATCCAGTTAGGATAATAGATTCGACTTATGTTAAGAAAGACAGAGAATGTTAAGAAAGACAGAGATAGACCTAAAAAGACTAGGGCATATTGTATAAAAAATGATCTTAATCTATTAGAATTAAATGAATATTTGACACTCGATAGGGCATACTAGAGAAAAAGGATTCATGTTGGCGACCCCTCTTGGTTAAAGGTTTGTTGTTGTTGTATAATTTCATTTTCCATATTATATGCTTCTAAAATTACATAAAAAAACTATTAGCTCGGTTTGATGCAGCAGCTGGACCGCACTTACCAAATAGAAATAAACAAGTTTTCAGCATCAACTTTACATCATATTTTTTTTCAACCACTTATCATCTAACTTTTGAAATAGTAACAACTATACCAAACAAAACCTAGGTGACACGAGCACTCGAATAACACCACGGGTGCGTGAATAATGCCACAGGCTTCTCCGATTGAATCTTTTGTCTGGACCGAACCGATCCAGATCTTGGAGGGCTGATCGGCTCTCTCCCGAGGGATTAGTGCCTCATTTCTATAGGGGTATCCAATTCTAGTTATGTAGTGCTTATATATGTGATTCCTATTTTTAGGTTTTTAATTTTTGACGTAAGTTTGTTTAGGACTGCTGCCATCGTTCGTTTCTCTCTTGGAGGGTTGTATTCGAGGGATTAGATGGTGCTCTGGCTGTATCTCTCTCCTGAGATGGTGATTATCTTCCCTATCCCCTTCCATTCCTCCCACATAGCTCTTGATCATTGTATCTCGCTGCAGCTTCCCTCAACTGCATTATGATTCTTGTTTTCTGCAGTTTCAGCTGCCGCCATTGCCTTCCCCTCTCCCCTCTTCTTGCTGCCATCGCAATTCCAGCCCTCCACCTTCACTGCCTCCACTGTTTCTTCCCTCGCCTCACTGTTTCATCGGCTGTCCAGCTGTCCGCAACGTCGTTGTCGTCCCGAAAACAACACACCTGTTGTTTTATTTTTTTGCGGTCCCCTAGCCGTTTCATTCTTTCCCACTGCGCCTCGCTGCTCCACTTGCCATCCCATTTGCTGAACTTGCTGTCCCAGCCCTCCTATTCCATCACCTCCTTTTACTGTTCCAATCACCTATAACCCATTTGATTTTCCTTTCGCGGTTTTGGTTAACTCCGGTATCAACTATACTTCACCATCTCTAGTACAACCTGAATACCTGCCCTCTTTTAGCCTTGATACAATCAGTAGCATTAAATTTCTTTTGAAAAGTATACTATTTTAACACCAGAATAATTACACCTTTTTTTTCATGTATAGTAATTATTGCATACATCCCTACACACACACATACACAGCGCATACACAATATTTGCATTGACAGGGCTCTAATTGGAAGCTGAAAGCATATGCAGATTAAGAAAAAAATATGGGAGAGTTAAGGCTATGTAAGGAACCATTATTAAAAAAATTAAACAAAACAGTAAAATATGAATATTTTAGTCTTGTATTTGAGAAAGCTATAGCCAATTGTTTAGCTAAACAGATAATAAAAACCTTTTTCGGTCAATAAAGCACGGAGAAAGCAGACTATCCAAATGGTATCATCAACTTTAACAACTTTAAAACACAATTATTTCAAATTTGGTTTTTAAACAAACTTTTGCAAAAATGAAAACTTAACTAAGAAAGGCCTTGATTGCTTATGTGCAATAGAACATTTCTTTTTTTTCAGCGTGCACACAAAGATAGCTATATATTGATGGTATATGTTATCTTAGTAATCACTTTTATAGAAATTTTAACGGTTGTAAGCCTGTGTTTTCTTCTGCTTTGATTCAATTGAAGTATAAAAAAAAAAGAAAAATAAAATCTTTTGTTCCAATCAACCTAAGCATTTCATAAACTTTTTGAAGGTCGAGTCAGAAATATTTTGTTTGCATGGTGGGTTATCCCCATCTATCGAGACTCTCGATAACATCCGTAATTTTGATCGAGTTCAAGAGGTTCCTCACGAGGGGCCAATGTGTGATCTCCTATGGTCTGACCCTGATGATCGATGTGGTTGGGGCATCTCTCCTAGAGGTGCTGGATATACATTTGGCCAGGTAAATTATTCATATACACAAAACATTTTAATCCATTTTTCCTTTGCTTGATGCCACTTTTAAATTTCAGGATATATCCGAGCAATTCAACCATACGAACAACCTTAAGCTGATTGCTAGAGCTCATCAACTGGTCATGGATGGATATAACTGGGGCCATGTATGATATTGTTATGTTATTGATCAATCTTAATCTTAAGTTCTTTATTTTTCTGATCCCTTTTATTATTTGGGAAATTTACTTACATAGCACACAATTTTTATGTATTTACATCTCACACCTAAACTTTCATGTTTACACGCATAGCACTTTGGTGTTGTAAAGTTATGTATAAAAAAGTGTATTTTACTTTTAAAAAGTGATCATAGTGTTATTTTTTATTTGATATTAAAGATTTGAGCACTATCTGTGTAAATATGAAAGTTTAGGTATGAGATATGTAAATATATAAGAATTAGGTGCTTTGTATGTAAGTGCCCCTTTTTTATTTTTTTGTTTGTCAAACAGGACCAAAAGGTTGTAACCATTTTTAGCGCGCCTAATTATTGCTACCGCTGTGGGAACATGGCATCCATATTGGAAGTTGATGATTGCAAGGGTCACACGTTTATTCAGGTTCGTCCCCATTTTTTGTTCTCAATGTGTTTTTAATTCCAGGTATTGGGTGTAGTATTGTTTTCTCTGTTATCGCTTTGGGTTGTAAATCAGTTGAGTTAAACTTGGGCAAGCATGAGCTTGAATTTGATTAATTAACTAAGTTAGTGTTCGAGCTTAAGTTTGATTTCAAGTTGGTTGACAAATATGTTTATTTATTATGAAAGAAATTGAAGCAGTTGTTGCCTTGATAAGGAAATTAAGGATTTAGAGATGAAATAATAAGAATGTAGTTTAGGAAGAGAGAAGTTTTAGTAGCCTTGTATTGAACCCATTTCATCCTAATATTGTTTGGAAGATTTACAAACATACCACTCAATTCCTATGTATTTTACATATTTAATACCTGAACTTCAATTTTAACATATATATATGCCACATTTCCAATGCATGAAAAGGTGTATTTCATTTTTCTAAAGTTAAAAAAGTGATATTCTTGATATGATATGAAAGATTTGGGTGGTATAAATATAAAAACAAAGTTTAGAACTTAGATATGTAAATACACAGGAATTGAGTGATATTTATCTAAATGCCCCAAATATTATTTTATTGTATTTTACCTATTGAGGAAATCTACATACATATCACACAATTATGTATTTACATATCTAACACTCAAAGTTTGATATTTACACTTATAACGAACTTGTATAATAATCCTATGCATGAAATGATGTATGGATGGTAAGAAGTAGAAGAACAAGGCTGCGCTATAGTTGATCCTTTCCTAAAGTCTGCATGCTCACAATTTGGCTCGACTAAGCTACATTGCAACTTTGGTGCTTTACCAAGCTTTCTTGCTATTATGTTTTTTCTTTTTTAAAGATATTGATTATGCCTGAATGCCATTGCCTGAATTCATTGTCCCATTTTACTTCAGTTCGATCCAGCGCCCAGGAGAGGCGAACCCGATGTAACTCGCAGAACGCCCGATTATTTCTTATAAACCCATCCTCCTGATTGAACACACCATTGATTTCTGTCTCCAATCATTATTTCAAGCTGCTTAACGGTTTGGTTGGTTTAGAACGCAGAGAAAATTATGTGGAGGGGAGTACCATGTAATTAATTAGCTTCATTTTGTGTTTTCGAAGGCAGCAGAGTGCTGCGGTATTTCCGGCTGCAGCGGCATGTATTTTCATTATTGGAAGGGAGTTGTATACTCTGTGGTTTAGCTCTCTCATTTGTTTTGATTTTTACTCTAATTATATTTGTTTCTTTTTAGTTCTCTAAGCTCTGACCAATCATTTGGGTACTTCTAGTAAAACCATTCTGGGTCTCTAATCCTTTGTTTTGTCTCTGTAATTGTTCTGGAAAGTTTTGAGTCTATTTAATTACATTTTGGTTTATTTGTTATATTTGGTTTCTCGATTTACAGAGCAGGTTTGTATTTTTTTTTTTTAAAGGAATTTACATACATACCACATGATTGTTATTGTATTTAGATTTAGAGTGCCTAAATTTTCATATTTGTATGTATAGCACTGAAATCTTTAATATTACATTAAAGATATCACTTTTACTTTTTTTCTTACAAGTAAAATACTCATTTTCATGGGAAAAATATTACATCAAGACTCCTGACGTGGAGCTACGTTCGGAGTCTACTGATATACGAACACGAGAAGTGACAGAAAAATGAAAAAAAATTGTTTAGCGCCCAGTGTTATTCCACATTATTTACGTGTTAATTGTGGTGATATTCATGTGTTATTGTGTTATGGGAATATTTCCGGTGTTATGATAACATAATAACACATCAATACCACTACAATAACACCTGAATAACGCGGAATAACACAGGAGGAATATTCTTCTGTGTTATCGGGCCGGATCACAAGAAAACGCGTGCGTTTCCTTGAAGCTACGCGTCCGCATATCAGTGGACTCTTTTTGTGTTACCGGGCCGGATCACAGGAAAACGCGTGCGTTTTCTTGAAACTACGTGTTCGCATATTAGTGGACTCTTTTTGTGTTACCGGGCCGGATCACAGGAAAACGCGTGCGTTTTCTTGAAACTACGTGTTCGCATATTAGTGGACTCTTTTTGTGTTACCGGGCCGGATCACAGGAAAGCGCGTGCGTTTTCTTGAGGTTACGTGTCCGCATATCAGTGCACTCCGAACGTAGCTCTACGTTAGGAGTCCTGATGTAATATTTTTCCCATTTTCAGGCATAGGTTTATGATACAAAAGTGTTCTAAATGCGAATATAAAAAAAGTAGGTGTTAGAGATTTAAATACATTAGAATTTTGTATTTAAAAACATAAGGATTGTCTGGTATGCATGCAAATTTCTCCTTTTATGATTAGTTTCAGACGCTGCTTGGCTGGGTACTTGTACCTTTGGGAGTTCAGTTGTGTTCTATTACCCTGCCTCTTGATCTAAAATGAGTATTCTTTATTATGCAAGCTCTTAGTTTATTAGTTTAGTTTAGTCTCTTTAAACTATTGAGTTGTCTTTTTCTTATATATTATGTGTGTTTATGATTAGATTTGCTCAAATTTAGTGGTGGTTTATTTATTTATTTATTTTGTGGGGTGGCTATGACTATTTATGAAAGATTTACGTGCATATCACTCTTAGGTATATACATATCCAACACCAAAAATTTCATTTTTATGTATGTGTCATACTACCTATGCATTAAGTTTACACATAGTAATTAGCTAGCATGTGTGTGATTGCTCCTAAACCCTAAACAAATTTTCTTTTTCAGTGGAAAGTGGCCTATTAAATCATTTCAATTTGCATCAATTTTATTTTTGTCTTTAGCAAAATGGGTTCAAAGACTAAGCTGAAATATTTTAGTGGGCATGAGAGATCTAACCCTAAACAAATTTTCTTTTTCAGTGGAAAGTGGCCTATTAAATCATTTCATTTTGCATCAATTTTATTTTTGTTTTTAGCAAAATGGGTTCAAAGACTAAGATGAAAAATTTTAGTGGGCATGAGAGATCTTCAGAGGAGAAAATGTGACATAATTTGTAAGCTTTCAAGTTTCAATCTTTCTGGCCATTTTAATTAAATTTCATTCTAACTAAGATTAGAAGACCAGAGAGGCTAAAAGCAACTAATTGAACACAAATATTTGCAAAAGATAAATTACATCAAAAGTTGGCTATTTTATCAGTCAACAAAATATTGGCTTTACTTGAAAATTTAAAGGATCTTTCCTCATTCCATCAATAGAGGAGAAAGTTTGAGAATTTAACCAACAAAAATTTTTGAAGAGATTTTCCTTGACCACTTGAAAATCTCAAGTCTATTTTTTGCAAAAGAAAGGTCTGTCATTGAAATAAAATAGTATCAAATTCATGGCAAGAATAAGGAGTTTGAGGTTACTTTCGAGCTTCCATTATCCCTTATTCATTTGTAAAAGAGTAACATAAAACGGGTATATACTTATAACATAAACAAGTGGACAACCAAAGAGTGATCTCATTTTCTTTTCTCCAACATTTAACTCTTAAGTATAGAATGTGACCATCTTTTTTGTCTTTATGATGTAAGAAAGGGAGACGTTTTTTTTTTTTTTTGCTATCAAATTAAGTTAAGAGAAGGTTTGTCGAATTTTAAGTAGATTTATGGTTATTCTTTTTTCACACTTGTGTCACATGAATTGCGTTTAGTTTCTTCAGAATAGTGGACTATCCCTATGAGAGAAAGTATAGAGGTTGACGAAGAATAATAATAATAAAGCTAAAGAAAATTATTTAGAATTGATTTGTTTACTATTAAAATAAGGAAAATATTGTGAAGGTCTACCAATGTGCCAGAAGAGCCATCTGTAGATTATGTGATGGAAGGGTGAAAAAAAAGATGAGGAGATGAAAGACATTTGCCTGCTCTTTTAAAGAAAATTGAAGAGCTCCCATTAGAGATTAAAGAAGAAGAGTACCCACAAAAATAAAGAAGATGAGAGCACTAACACTAGATAGAAAAATCTTAAATTCATGGAACCTTAGATCATTGCCTTAATTCTTTGTAATTATAAAGGTTCTAGAAGAGTTTTGTATTTGATTCATATAGTTAAAAATCATATTTTTACAAAATGATAAATGTAACATATTCTACTACTTAAAAAATTAGAAGCATTTTCTAAATCATTCGTAGTTAACAAAATGTTAATTTTATCTCCATGCACAAATTGATCGAATAGGATATGCTTTTAGAGAGTTGATGATCATGTTTTATCATTAACTTTACATATTCGTAAATGTAACATATTCTACTACTTAAAAAATTAGAATCATTTTCTAAATCATTCGTAGTTAACCAAATGTTAATTTTATCTCTATGCACAAATTGATTGAATAAGATATGTTTGTAGAGGGTTGATGATCATGTTTTATCATTAATTTTAAATATTCATTTTTTTAACATAATGCTGGTCAGTTGATCACCTGATTAGTGATAGTCGATATTTATTATTTTGTCGTGTAAACAAAAGAAAATGCCATCATAAAATATTGGATAAATTTTTAATATTTTACATTCACATTAGTATGTTTGATAAATAAATAGCTCTTACCTTCAAGTTAGATAGTATATAGAAAATTTATTTAATAATAATAAAAAAAAGAAATGTTCCCTTAAATCATTTAAGAAAGATAAAACAAATAATTATCATTAAACGGCAATTAAAATTTAAAAATAATTTAGAATTGTTTGGGGCACCTTGTGCATTTAAAGATAAGCAACTTATCCTGCTCGCGGCCTATATTTAATATAAAAAATTTAAATAAGACAAATAATATTTTCAAAAACATGCAAATCACCGCTGCCGCAGTTATAAGCTGCCCAGTCGCCGCAGTTATAAGCTGCTTTGGGGCACCTTGTGCATTTAAAGATAAGCAACTTTTCCTGCTCGCGGCCTATATTTAATATAAAAAATTCAAATAAGACAAATAATATTTTCAAAAACATGCAAAACCAACGCTGCCGCAGTTATAAGCTGCCCCAAAACGCCCAAACGGTCCAATCAAATGAATCGGCTTTGCTTTTCCGGCTGCACCTCGCTCTTCCCCCGAACCTCATAACTGGCCTTCAACTCTTCCAATGCTGGGCTCCTTTATCCGGCCCGCCGGAGCCGCCGTGGCGGCTATCCGTCGAAGCTCTTCACTCCTTCCACCTCCGCCAACGATTTTCGCCGTCGCATCTCGCACCTATGCGAGGGCGAAGACCCCCAAGGCCACCTCCAAAAAGGGAAAGGTTATGGTGAAAGGACCTCGAACTGGAGGAGGTGATGAAGCTGCTGTTGATTCCTCTTCCACAGAAGATATGAACGCTTCTTTTGAACTTCCCACTGATCCGCTGCCCTTCACTTACGATCCTGCCCTCGACGTCGGACCTGGCGGCCGTCCTCTCTTCAGCGTCACCGAATCCTTTAATCCACTAACCCGCAAGCAAGCTAACACATATGTCGATTTCAGGTAGCATTCAGCTGATTTGGCTACATTTTTGCTTGCTTGCTTGATTGATTGATTACTTGTTGCTGTTTGGTTTTGATTTTAATTTTAATTTATTTGGTTTTGTTGATTAGTTTAGAGGAATGGAATGCGATGCTTCCGGAGGGTTTACCAGCGGGGATGAAGAAGGAGTTTGAGGAGACGCGGCGCTGTGCTGTGATGGTGCGACAGAGTTTCTTAGATTTACGTGATAATTTCCGGCGTATCTCCAACCCGCTGCTGCGGCCTAGTAAGAAAAGTGAGCTTTTTATGCTTAATTTCCTCAAATGTCTGCTGGTTTTGATTAGTTGATTTCTTTATCAGTCTTCAGACAATTGCACCGTATTTTTACTTTGACTCGCTGCATTTTGGATGATTTTAGATTTTGTATTGTTTGTTTTTGTGAATTTAATCTCAAACTCGAATACGTCCAAATACTCAAGGCCTCAAACTCATGATCTATATGATGGTAACCCAAACTCCCAACGATTAGGTTATGTTGGGTCATGTAAATTTGTATTACTTGACAAGGCAATTTTTTTTTTCTCTCCATATTTTTGGATGAACTAGTATGTAGAAGTGAGAACATGCATTGAAGACTTGCTTTAGTTTTCTCTGGAATTGAACGTTTCTTTTTTGGCTGTTTGGTGGAAGTATTTAGAATTAAGATATTATAAATGCAGCATATTTGGAGTTCAGTAGATCATTTTTTTGTGTTTTCTTAGAACAAATAGAATTTAAGATAAAAATAAAAATTAAATTAACCTATGGCACAAAGACGGAGGGATGAATGAGGCACTGCAATAGTTAGGGGTTTTGTAGGGTAGAGGCTTCACATGCATACTGACTGAGCTGTTATAGGACGACATTGGAGGCTTCAAACGAGTGTCACTAGGTGTGGTTAGGAGACTTTGCGTGAGGCTTTGCACGAATGTGTGCTTTATTTTGAGCTTGCTTAAATTGGGCGAATTTCAAATACACAAAAAGTGAATAATGGGTTAACTTTAAAAAATCGTCAATTATTTATTTTAGATTTTTTTCTACTCTCAACTAAATATTAAAAAATATAAAGCCCTTGTATTTGAAATGCAATACACTTAAAGGTCCTCCAACCAAATAACCTCTTAGTTTTCTGTTATGTTGTGGAAAGAAGATAATGGAACAAAAGTTGTGGCATTATAATATTTAGTGATTTCCTTTTTAGTAACTCCACTGAATATGAAACTATCATGACACTCTGGAATCCTTAATGTGAAAGTTTTTATGTCTCATTTCTCTTTTTAAAATTACAAAATGTTTCTTGTGGTTCTAATATTTCTTAAAATGCTTTAATTTAAATGTTCCTGAATGTACAGTCAACTAATTGAATCTTTTTTTTTTTTTGGTTACAAGGTCTAACGGTTTTCCATGTTTAAAATTTATTTCTATATTCTTTTGTCGCATCATGAACAAATGTCATGCTTCTGCAAAAAAATTACTGAATTGTTGCTATTCATGCTGGAGCTAAATTATCTCTGCTTTTAACTTCTGAAAATCTCCCTCACAGACATACATATATACACATTTATGATTGAAAAGACAATTTTTTATGTAGTTTGATCTTTTGGAGTCACAAGGCATAACCTAAACCAGGGCTTTGGGCAATACAGTAAATAGCTGGTACTGTGTTTTTTGGCAATTTGAGGGTTAGACAAAATGGGAAAGTTTAAGGTGCCCAAAATTTAGTTACAAAGTGAAAATATAACTTTAATTGTTCACTCCAAGTGGGCTTGGAACATCTTTTTTGTTTAATATGATTACATTCTTTTGTGCAAATTATACCATGGAGTTGTTTTCTCATAAATCAAAATTTGGCAAGATTTGGAACAGCTGCTTGGTTAAACATGCAACTCGATTGTTCTGAGAAAATATCATAGATTGCAAATGTAGGTTTTGCGCTGTCATTTTTATTGCCGTGCCGGCTCACATTTGTATTTTTATTTATGGTTATGTTTCATTATTTCTGTGAGCGTTGTCCAAGATAATATAGAGATTACTATATTACAAAAATGCATGGAATTGGAAGGCTAATTTACTATTAAACACATCAAAATTCGTGATTCCATTTTGGAACTATCCTTTTGAGTGGCCTGAGAGTGAAGAAAGGAATGAGCACACAGAATTTAGCCCGAATATTCTTTCCCCTTACCATAAAAGGTGAAGAAAAATTCAAACATTCATAAGTACCATATCTTTTGATGTTATTAAATATACATACACACGTATTATTGTTATAAGTATTATATCGTTATCATAATCAACTAAATGATTATTGCGAGATTTCATAAAAATTAATGCATCTCTTAGTAGGTTGTCGCTTTTCATGCCAAAGATACCCCTCGGCAAATTCCTATTCTTTCTAGATGGCCACGAGCTAGAGTAAAACAATACACACAGTTGATGTTAGAATAATAATCAAATTTATGAGCAATCTAAACATATTTTGCAGACTTCAACCATCTTGATAAAAGGCAGGTGCATGCACATTAAGTAAAAGATAATAGCATGATCACAATATACAAAAATGAAATCAATTATGAAGTTTTTATTTAATTTGGAGCCATATTTAACAACTATAAATGCTTGAAGATAAAATTATCAAACAACCACTTACTAAACCTTATTTTGAAATATTCATATATGTGAAAAGAAATGTAACACAAGTAAAAGGGCTTCTTTACTTCTCGACCGACCACCACATTATTTAGAAGGTTTAGTAAGAGCTTATTTGATAGTTTACATTTTGCATTTAAGATATACATGGAAGGTATATGATATGTAATAAAGAAAGTAGTTTTTGGTGAAAATTTTATATTTAACAGCTTTGAAATATTCAACATCATTGTATTTGAAAGATTGTAATATTTATTTGAGCCAACATTTGCAGATGCAAATATTAAGAAGCAAATAATTTTGGATGGCCCAGTTAGTTGTGGAAAGAGCATAACACTTGCTATGCTTGTACACTGGGCACGCAGCGACGGATGGCTAGTGTTGTATGTTCCTAGAGGTAAAGAATGGACGCATGGGGGATTCTTTTACAGAAATCCCTATAGTGATCTTTGGGACACTCCTGTACAGGCTGCAAAAATCCTACAGGTATTCTTGGCTTATGAAGTGTCATACAAATATTTTCATTTTCTGAAAAAAGTTTTCTATGAAAGTTGGTGCGTATTAACATTATTGAAAATCTTATTGACTTATACCCTTCTTCGAATGCACAATTTAGATGTATTTAATCTATTGGATTGTTTACTAAATAACATTAGTCCCTTTGCTCTATGGTACAGGATTTCATCACTGATAATTCATGAATTTTGGCTTTGAAGTCTTATCTGTTAACTTTTTATAGAGCCAACTTTTGGTATGTGCCTGTAATTAAGATATATATAACCATGTTTGTTGTATACATATTGTATGTTAGCTGACCCAATTTTGCACGGGCTAATGCAAGTGCATGTGTCATGTTAGCTGTACAATGGATTAAGTTCAAGAAAGTTCCCTAAGGATCCAAGGTAAATTCTGAATTTTAGTTAAGCACTATCTTTCAAATCCTAATATCTATTCAAATAAAAACTTTGAAATGTGATTTTGATTTTTCTTGAATTTGATTAAGGTTTTCAATATACAAACATATCCTATGAATTTTTAATATGTAATATAGAATTTTGTGCTAAGGTTTCATTGATCAATAATTGTCAATCAAGAGCATAAGTGATTTAAAGCCTCTTCTGACATTGTGAAAATCCTAATTTTTAAAACTCTAAGGCAATATGTCTATATGCTCAAAGAGATTTCAAAAATTGGTTTTTTTCATTTCCCTATTAGATTGCTAAGGTTTAGGGATCATATGTCTATCCCTCTGATTTTTAGTTGTGTTCCCTCCATGTGTAAAAATAGACTCTTTTGATATCATTATTTCTACATTAGGTTTTAAGTGTAAGTGTGATCACTACTTAATGCTAAATGAAGTTGGAGAATTTTACAAACAAGCTTTTCACAAGATTTACATGAAAGGTCATAATTGCATCATTCTATGTACTAACTAGAAAATCATAAGAGAAAAATAACTTAGTCAAACATAATTTCATAAAACATGCAGAAAAACAAATTCATTTAGTACAATATTTTACAAGATTTAAACAAAGAAAAGAGATAATTAAATGAAAGAACTTAGGATTCCACAGTTTTCAAGTTCCTCCCTCAAATTTCTTCTCCTTGCTTCACCAAGCCAAGAAAAATTCTCACTCACACACTAAATTGATTCACTCACTCCCTACATACTCTAGACCCTCTTTAATGGCTGCTTAACTCCTTAAACACTCTCTAGTGTTCCCTTTAAGTAATACCCACACTCCCAACCATTCATTCCTCAAATACTTGAAATTCAACATATATAACTATTTCTGTCGGGGACATCGCGGCTCTGCAATTGGACACCTAGGCTCTGTGCTTGGGTACCATTCCATTGGATTTTGGTGTTTAGGCTTTGGGCTCTCTATCTTCTGATCTTTTATTCTGGCGTCTTTGCTTTGGGTTTGGGCGCCTAGGCTCTGGTCTCTTGGGAAAATTAATTTTAGGAGATCTCTTCATGATGCCTAGGCTCTGCAACATAGCGCTGCAGCGCTGGACAGGGCGTCTAGGCTCTATAACTTGGCACCTGGGCTCTGCTATGGTGGGACCTACGCTCTGCTACAGTGGCGCCTAGGTTATGCTATATAACTTTTTCTATTTTCTTTCCGACCCGTTGCCCTGTAAATTTCATGCACAACAGAAAACAAAAACACCATAAAATCCATATAATAACATAACTTTTATGTACAAACACAACTATTTTTACGTACTTTTTAATACTCAACATTTGCATACATCGGTACAGAATAGATCCCTAGAAATGTTTACTGCAGCTTTTATTTTGCCATGAATGCGAGTTTATTGTTTGCATGTTTGCTTTTGTAATGGTTCTTACTCATGTTTTAAGTTTTTGTTATGTTTATCCTTGAGTAGATATATTCTGATTTTCAGAGTGATTTTTATGCTCGAAATAGAAATTAATTGACACTTTTTTTGCAACTTAGTGATCGTGACATACCATTATTTGGGTATAAGGCACATTTTTCTTGTGATTTGTTAAAAAAAAATCTAATTAAATGTGATATCATTTTCGCTAATGTCAATCCTACTACATATTTACCATTAAAACCCACCCCTCCCTAATCTCTTCGTGCATGCCTCATTGGCTGCTGTTGCTGTTAGCAACTATCACTTTTTGGGGTTAGCAACACTAGGTTGATGATTCGTTCCGCTCTGAAAACATCAACTTGTTCATGTGTAATATTTGGATCAGCTATATTTTTCTGCAAGCAATTTCTGCAACAGCCAGCAGACCACTGTTAATATTTCTCTTCTTAGTATTTTTTTTTTCAGGCCTTCTTCAATTGTTTAATATAATGGGCCGTGTTATTTAGGATTTTTATTAGCCGCAGATATAATTATTTTAGTTCTTATTATTTTTTTAAGATATTGGTTGGGAACTTCAGTTTTAGAGTTTCTAGTTCTACAGTCAGACTTAGAACTGTTATGGAGATATCTCTATTCAGCTTTTCTAAAATCAAAGAGATCACAAGTTATTTATCATTTTCTCTCGTTTGAATGCCATGACCCTTAGAATTTTACGCTTTGAGAGAAAAATGCTAAGAGGGAATTAATTGCTATGCTTTTTTTTTAATCTTTAACTTACTAAGCTCCAAGGCTTGATTATGATAACTAATGAATTATTAATATTTTACTATACGTGACTTGGCAGTGTTAGAATTTCCTACAAATGCACCATTGTTTTCTTTTAATTATGTTGTGCTCCCAGGATTTTCTGAAATTTAACGAAGCTCGTTTACAACACTTACCCTGTCAAATTTTTGATCCCATCACCTTGGGAGAGGGTGCCGGTGTTGGAATGATGAAAGGAGTTGATTCCATGGAAATGCCGGAGGGTTCAACATTATTTGATCTTATTCAAACCGGGATTGCTTATACACATGCTTCAGTTGGTATAGTGGTTCGTTTGAGGAAAGAGCTGTCCCTGGTGAAAGATGTTCCTGTTTTATTCGCTATTGATCAGGCAGGGAGAGCACATTTGATACTTATTTAACGTCCTTTCTTTTTTCGCTCCTGTAATTCTGGTACAAGAATCACTGCGACTTATATCTCTTGCCTTCTGCAGTATAACAACTGGTTCACATTCAGTGAATACGAAGAGCCTGTAACCGTTCGATCAACACGACCAATTCATGCCAAGGAACTTTCCACGGTCAGTATCGTGATTTATACAATTTTGTTAGATCATTGCTCATTCCGATTTCTGAGTTTCTTTTTTATGCTTACCTGCACATTGTCTCGGATTATGAAGCGAGTATTCCAATATATAGTCCTTAGTGTATTCAATATAGGGAAATTTACATACATACCACACAATTCCTTTGTATTTACGTATCTAACACCAAAGGTTTGATATTTACATTTATGACACTTTGGTGTCATGAACCTATGTACTTTACTTGTAAGAAAACTGATAGAAGTCGTATTTTTTATTTGATTTTAAAGATTATAGTCTTATGGATGTAAAAATGAAAATTTAGGTGTAAGATATGTAAATGCATAAGAATTGTTTGGTATGTATGTAAATGGCCCTTCAATATATTATGTTTCCTTTTTCCAATCAACTAGAATGACATTGTTATCCCGGCTTATTTTGTTTAACTTTGGCTTAGCATGTAAACTACAATAGCTGGAAGTATTATTCCCTTGCCTGAAAGAAGTACTTGCACATAGTAAAAAACTTCTATCAAATAGGACTAGACTCGTGAGGTCCTTTTTTTTCTTGTCCAGATGTTTTTTTCGAAGATTAAAATGGGCTAGATATATGAATTTGAGGTTTATTTACCAAACCTGCCAACCTAAAGCTCGGAAGCGACAATTATTATCTGTAGGTGAACAATATGGCTAACATGAAGGTGTTGCGGAACTTGCTTGGTGAACAATATTAACTGAGTAACACCAATTTGGGTGAGCACGAATGTTTTCATTAGACAATTGGCTACATAGTTTTGACTTCATTAATTTCTGATATTTTAAATTAAATTTTGGTCAAACCATAAACAAGCATCCATACATGAAGTAACATATATTGCTGCAAAATATTTACACAATTTTAACTCGTTGTAGCTTGCTATGTAGTTGACGAGTTGTCTTGTAGTGGACTGCTAGTTGTGGAATTTGGTTGATGTTCATGTTAAGGGTGAGTACCTTTGGCAAGTTTGATTGGGCGAGAATTTCTAGTCAGCTGTTTAGTACATTTGGAGGGTTTAGTAGCTTAGTATTGATGATTGATTAAGGGCTAATTCTTGGGCCATTTATTGATAGGCTTTAGGTGAATTAAAGCTTGGCAAATTTCAAGTTGTAGATTGTTTAAGATGGTTCAAATTCAACCTCTTGATCCCTGTTCATTTCAAGTTCAGATAATGACTTGATTAACCTGACTGAGATAATATGGGTCTACATTGAATGCTCTATATAGTTTTTGTGACTCAATACTTGATTTGGAATGTTGGCTCTGCATAGGACCAAGATCTTCAACAGTAGTACTTACAAAGTTTTGCTTCTCGTGCTCTAGTCTTTTGTTCTTTCTTTGAAATTGCTAGCGTTTATCCTCTTTAAAGATTAAGAATTTTTAATGTTTTAAAGCTTTGCTGTTGCGGATGAGCTTATAAGGAAGCAAGTGAAGGCTAAGAAGCAAAGAGCTTCACTGCTTGCTTAGGGCCCCTCCTTTACGGAAATGTTTTCGCTAAAGAAGTTGAAGATTAAAGAAGATGACGAAGTTTTGGAGGAGCTGGATCCTCCTTAATGCTAGGTGGTTGCTTTGGAAGCCTGTTGGACTATGTTGGATTTTGTTAGGATGGCTTTCGGTGGTGCAGTGATTGTTATTGAAGAATCGACAGTCTACCAGTAGTCCTGGAAGGAGCCTTGGAATTCACTCCAACTTCAACAGTAGGATTGAATGTAGAATTTTACAATCCAGAGTCCTCTTTTATAGCAGAGATCACTAAGTTCATTGCGACTTTTTAGTTTAACATTCCTCAGAGTAAGTATCTAGTATTCTAGTTGACTAAGTTCATTGCGACTTTTTAGTTTAACATTCCTCAAAGTATCTAGTATTCTAGTTGATATCTAACTTTCTGATGTTTTGGCCGACTTCAACGAGAAAGGTTCCAAGTTCTTTGATGTCACTCAACCTACGAATGAATAAATTGGGAATGTTGGAGAGTTGATATAGTCCAACTTGCCTGTTAATGATGCTGAAGTCCTTAATGATGCTGAAGTCGTTGGCAGAACCAACCGGCTTCGAATGCTGTACTCTTTTGTGCTGGTGGTGTGCAGTTGTTGACTCCAAACTCACCACTGCTTTTTCCATCAAGGAAGAACTTCAAGTTTCTACTAAAAGGATTGAAACTTTGAGATGAGCGCTTCATAATGAAGTCTTTTGAGGGGAATCAACGGTGCTGGTAGCTGAGAGATTGAGTCCATCAAGGAGGCAAAAAATTAACAAGTCGGCATAGAGGCTACGAAGGCAACAATGCAGGCTAAATGAAGGTCTTTGCTTAGAAGAATTGAAGTTTGAAGTCTCTGACCAACTTTACCTAGATCTCCTCATTCAATTAGAAGCCTTGCCTAGTTGACAACTAGATGCTCTGCTAAGTTTCTTGTGCTCAACTATATGCAAAACATTACGGATTTTTTATATTCTTTCTAAGGTCACTCTCGACCACCAATCCTATTTTCATTTCGAGGGAGCTTCGATTTCACTGTATGGTGAGTTCCAATTTTTTTTTTCCCAATAAAATCTCTCTCGAAAATGGAAATTCTAATTTGTATTTTCTTCCAAAGCTTTTTTACTTGCACCTCTTCAAAAGAGAAATGCCAAACAACACAAATATAAGTTGCTTTGAACTTGATGTAATGAATATCTAAATGCAATGATAAATTTTTTTTTTTTAATTCTAAGCTTCATGCATTGATAATGCAAAATTAGGTCTTCGAGCTATTTTTTTTTTGTACTTGACGTGTTGCTTGTGAGTCATACTTCTTTGCGTAGCTTTTAAGAAGTTGACTGTCCAAAACCAATTCCCTACTCCAAAGTCATGCTTTGTTATGAAGTCAGAAGTTGCACTTATGTTTATAAGACATCCTTGTTGGTGGCATCAACGCTTGACCATGGGGTAGAACTTTGATGTGAATTTATTTGTGAGGGAATGAATTTGACTTTGGTTGATTGTTAGTTAAAAATTTTCAGAGAACTCCATATTGAAGATGAATACCTTTGGCAAGTTCTTTTAGTGAGAAACCCTAGTTGTTTGTTGAGTACTTTTGGGGAATCTAGTAGCTTAGTATTGAGGTGCCAAGTAATGATTGATTTGATGAGATTTAGGGGACGATATGGCTAGCTGTATTTTGGGCGTCTTGTAAACAGAATGCAAGGCTTTTTTACGCTGGTGCGCGAAAATACCGCTGCGTGAGGGGGTGGGTGCGAATAGTCGCGCGCTCGCTGGTTTTCAATTTCAGTAATATGTTTTTCCTTTCCTAAAGGGTTATGTCCTTTTAGGAAATTATTTTTATGTTTTATTTTGATGTTTTGAGGCTTTATCTATTATTTTTTTTTTTGTTTTAGAGATTTTATTCTTAAATTTTTGCTCTTTGAAGTGCTGTATCATTTTTTTTACAAGTGGAGTATGCATCTTACTCAGGAACAGGTTTTTGATTCCCCTTGGCAATCATGTCTTGCCCGAACCAGCATTTCATGGTTCTCTTCATTGTTTTCAGCTTGGACAACCTTAACGTCATCTATCCCCTTCCAAATGTTGTTGATATCCCATATTTTCACTTCCTTAATTCCATAGTCACTTTCCTGCTACATCCTCTTCCTAAATACTTTCTAGGAGCCCTGAAAAATGTCATGTGGTATCAGAGCAACTCTAAATGCTTAGGAATTTATCTTCCTTTACTCCCAAACCAAAATTTCGCACAACCTAACCTAATACTCCCTCAAAAAAATAAAAAGAAAATAAAATAAAATAAAAAAAGATAAAAATAAAAAATTTCTCCACATCATCCACCTAACTCTAACCCTAACCCTAAACCATAATTACTTTTTAAACAAAATTTTAATTAGAAGAACAAGACGTCATGCCGTTAAGGAGAAATTCTCAATGAGGAGTTCAGGAGCTCACCATGGAGGACACATAGCAGAAAATCCTCCAAATGCATTGGAGGTTAGCTGATTTTGAAGGAAGATAACATGAGAAAGCCGCGCACAACAATAACAGTGTCACTCACATGAAGGAGATGAAAACCTTTAACACAAAGAAGTTTTCAGTGATGAAGAACCAATGGTTGTTGATTTGACATAGAATATTAGATAAGCAAGGATTTTGGAGTGACGATTGACTTGACAAACTTTGACAGCGCATGGATTCAAACAAGATCATTGAGTAGCTCTATTGAAACCAGAGGAGTTAGCCCAAACCATGATAAGAACCAAATATTATTGTTGAATTCAAAATAGGAAAACACAATCACTAAAACGGAAATAGAAATAGCAACATACTCGACACAAACACAACTAGGGTTGTATCCCAAATGGGTGGTGGTTGGTTAGGTAGGGTGGAAGGGCGATCGATGGTTGGCAGAGGAATGGTTAGGGACGGTAAGGGGCTGACGGATCCGAGATCAGCAAATTGGATATTCTTAGACAACGATAGTGATGGGGGAAGGGGTTGCGACAAGATAGGGCTGGCTGGGGGCAGCCAGGGTAGATAGAAGTGGTGAAGGAAGGACAATTGCTAGATTAGGAGAGGCTTTAGTAGGTGGGAACCAGGGATTGGGAGGCAGCGATATGTGGAAGATGATATGGAAGGTGGCAAAAAAGTGGAATTTTGGAAAAACAACTAAGGGTTATTTTCGGGCATCTACAACAGGCACAGCGACAAAGGAGAGAAGGATGAGACAGAAGGGGAAATTGAGGATAGTCATCACCTCAGATACAGCTTGAGCACTACTTTCCCTTGGATACAACATTAGAAGGGAGAATTGGTGACGCTGACGGTTGTTTCAACAGAAAACATTCGAAAATTGAAAACTTAAAACACAAGAGCAAAATATGTAGGGGCACCAAACCCATGTGGGGAAGCCGGTCGGCTCTCCCATGCATGGACCGGTCCGTCTAGGCAGCTGGAACGTGGGAGGGGAACACCCACG